GGACTCCAAATAGCCTTGATCAAAAAAAAAAAAAATCTACACAAAGGCATATAATTGTTAAAATTCCAGAAACCCAACAGAAGAACAAAATTGTGCAAGCAGTTAGAGAAAAGAAACAAATCACATACGGAGGAAAGCCCATCAGAATCACAGCAGACTTCTCAACACAAACCTTCAAGGCAGGAAGAGCTTGGAGTGACATATTTCAAGCCCTAAAATAAAACAACCTCCAACCCAGATTGATGTACCCTGCAAAACTATGTTTCAAAATTGATGGTGAAATAAGATACTTTCATGACAAAGAACATCTTAGGAACTTCATGAATACCAAACGAGAACTCCAGAAAATTTTAGACAAAATCCTAGGAAAGGGGATCACAATCCCAGGAAGCCTACTAGAATGAATCCACTGGGCACAACAAGAAATTAAAAGCTAAGGGGAGATCCGATGAAAAGAAAAAGTCATGACAATGATAACTCAATACTTATCAGTTATAACTGTCAATGTTAATGGTCTCAACTCACCAATCAAAAGAAATAGACTAAAAAAAGACACACTAGAGTCTGCTTCATATAACCAATATTCAGCTGGGTGTGTAGGTGTTTCTTACAACCATATAGGCAGATATACCGCCACGAGGGTTGAAAATGCAGGTTTATTAAGGGTCTGGTCAAGGCCTAGGAGTACAAAGGGAATGATAGACACTGTGTCCCTTAAGAGGTACTACAGACATTTTTGGTGGCAGAATACTTTATTGTTTGGGCACTGTCCCAGCACTGCAGGACATACACTGCCAGGCCCCAACATTTTTCTGCCAACTAAATGCTGGTGACCTGAGGGGGCAGCGTTGTGACAACAACCAAACCAGCCTCAAGGATCCCTAGATTATAAGAGGTATATCTGGTGGAGCAGTAAAGAAGTAGTAAAGACCACTGGCCAAGGTGAAAAGGCAAAGTCTCTGATGGTTGGCAGGAGTACAGAGTTTTAGCAGGAAGGTAGGTACCTTAGGTAACTGAGAACACAGATTCAAGGCCTAGAACAGAGCTGAGCACATTGGTTCTGGGCACATTCTCTTTCTAGAAGTCACCTGTCCCCAAACTTAGAAACTTTCCTATCACATTACTGATGATATTCTGAATGTCTCAGGTGTCACAGAGGAAAAAAAGAAAAGGTTTTGGAGCCAGAGAGACTGAGGTTTGAATTCCAAGCAGATGGCTGTGTGCATACTTAATATAAATCTCAGTTTCCTCATTTATCAAAAAAGAACCATAACTATGTAGGAGGGTATCATCAGAATCAGAGCTAAGATAATGTGCAGTACTGACAAGTAATAAGTGCTCAACAGAAAGAAGTCATGATTACGCTCATTCCCACCATGGGAAGGTTAAAACTATCTGAAAATACTTAATCCAAAATCTGCTTACCTGTGACTTCTGCTATTTAAACCAGCATATTCCATTTTCACTCCTCAAGAAAACAAATAATTAAGCACCTGTAGTTCCCCCATGAAATGGGGTCCCTAGATATATCTACTTTCCTGAGGTCTTCCTCTGGTTTGGGGCTAACTTGTGATGTCACTTTCCAAACCCAGCCTTGGATCTAATATGCTGATATTGACACACTATTTCAATTAATATACTCCAAAATTTAAAAATAAAAACAAGGGCCGAGGATTTAGCTCAGTGGTTCCGGCGCCTGCCTCATAAGCGCAAGGTCCCAAGTTCGATCCCTGGTACCAAAAAAATAAAAATAAAAATAAAAATAAAAACAAGGGGGCTGGGGATTTGGCTCAGTGGTTTCGCTGCCTGCTGTGCAAATGCAAGGACCCAAGTTCAATCCCCGGTACCAAAAAAGGGTATTCGTTAAAAAATAAAAACAAGGCCAGGCCCTTCAACTTTTCTTTTAAACAACACAGTTGTGATTCTGGATGTCATGAGTTTTTCTCAGCCCAGCAATAAGCCACAACATCCCAAGGCATAGCACACAACTCTCAGTAGGCAGGGCCTACAGTCCCTTTTGGCAGGCAGTAGCTACATGAAGACAGAGATCACCACACCCTCAGCAATCCATAAAGAATGTTAGGGATTTATGTCTCTCAGGAGGAAATGAGGCAAGCCGGCTGTCTGGGCAAGTGGGTACGACCTGTCAGTCATGGAGATCTAGGACACATGAGCCCAAGCCCTGCACGTGGGACCAATCAGAGACTGTTATCGTCAATTCCTCCGGCATGGAATCAACCAGGTTTTTGATAGGATGGTGTAGATCTGATGTCAGAATGGGGAATATAAAAGATGGTGGCCGTAACCTGGGGGCCACGGTGAGCTCTCTTTCCATGGCCCACTCTCCCTGCAGAGTGGACTTCTTTTCCTACTTTTTTTTTTTGGTACTGGGATCGAACTCGGGTCCTTGTGCTTGCGGGGCTGGTGGTGAAACCACTGAGCTAAATCCCCAGTCCTCTTTTCCTACTTTTAATTGGCTGACATTCACTCTGCAGAGTGTACTTCTTTTCCTACCTTTAATAAATGTAAAATTTCACTACTTTTTTTTTGGTACTGGAGATCGAACTCAGGACCCTGCACTTAAGAGGCAGGCGGTGGCACCACAAAACTTCACTACCTTTAAATTTAAAAATTTTAAAAATCACAGTTGTAGAGTGGGTAGCATCAACTGTGCCTTCAGGACCCTCCTACTTAAATATAGATGTTCAGAATCAAATATTTGAACTGTAAAGTTTTAGTAATATCTTAAGGCAGAGAAAGGAAGATTAAAGAGTAATGAATACTCTGTAAATAAAACCTACTAGGTTTTGTCAGACTAGCATTCAATGTAGAAGTCAAGCCTATGGCTCATAACTGGATAAAACATGCCATGGGCTGAGCCTGAAGATGGTCCTTTGCCTTCTCCCTACTCCCTTTCTCCTCCACAGACTAGAGAGTCAAACAGATTGTAGACCCTGGATGGTACAGCCCCAAGAGATAGTTACATTATGTATCCTTCTTCCTTGTTCCATTTTTGTGCATGCCCCAATCATGAGACAATCTCGCTACGTTCAGTTCTAGGCCACGTAGCACTGTTTACCCTGGCTTCTGTTCCTGTTTGCCTTCTACTATAAATAAAGAGCGTGCTGGACTCTAGGCAGCCATTAGCTCCCGACAGGCTATGGCTTCACCTGGTCCCAGCTTTCAAGTATAATCTTGGTGTTTTCATTTTTCATCATCTTCCACTGCTCTCCCAAGCTACGGACCCTACATGCAGGTCACGGGAAAAACATGTTAATAGAGAATAGATAATGCAATATAGTTAGCCTGGCCAATAACTTGAGTCCAGAGGCTAAGGAGGTATCTCAGTGGTAGAAGACATGCTTAGCATACACGAGGCCCTGAGTTTAATTCTCAGTGCTGTGGAAACAAAATGAAACAAAATAAACTTGACTTTTAGCAAATCCCATTCAGAAACTATCCAGGTACTCTTTGCAAAAGCATCACCTGCATATCCAGGCCACATGACACCAGGCTCTGAGGCCTCTGAGGTCGAAAAGCAACAGAGGAACAGATATTGGAATGTCTCTTCAGGGATCTACTAACTTTCTTATTTTCCAAGTCTAGGATTTTGATTGCCCCGGAGTCGTCAGCAGAAGCCAGCAGGTTTTCAGTTTCATTCAGGGAAAGGCAATTGATTTCTTCTTCGTTCACTTGAAAATGGTCCAAGGAATCTTTGAGGGCCCTGACATCCAGGATGCTAATGCTTTCTCCATGTGCAGCGTAGAGCTTGGTGGGGCAGGAGTGGGAAAATACGACACTGGTCACGTCATCAGTGCCTGGGAACCTCACATGTCCTAATGGAGTCCCATCCTCACCCCACACTGTGAGATCTCCACCCACTGCTCCTGAAGCCACTAGCCCGTCTTTACTTGCATTCAAGCAGAGGATGGGAGAAGAATGTCCATCAGTCCACTTGACTGCCATCATGGCCCAGGGGTCTCTGTGAAGAGCAAGAAAAACTGTATCATGTTTTAGACAAGAGCTTGATGGCAGGAGACAAATGTAACAAGCAGTATTTCACTTAAATATTTTAAAAAGACATCTTTAAAAATTCAGTAATAACAATGAAAAAAGACACTTAACTTCAAGTCCACAGAAGCCTAGCTGAACACAAGCTTGTGGTACGCTGACTGGACATGCCTAACAGGGCTTCTCTGTCATTAGGGCACCAGTCTTTGATGTGTGACTCACATAAGAATGAACACTAAATATATTTTACATTAGATAAGTCTTTTTTTTTTTTTTTCTGGGTACTGGAGATCAAACTCACGACCTTATGCTTTCGAGGCAGGTACGATGCCACTGAGCTAAATCCCCAGCCCAGGAAACAGTCTTGGTTATTCAGAAGTGTGTTGTTTAATTTCCATGTGTTTATGAAATTCGTGCGGTTTCTTTTGCTATTGATCTCCAATTTCATTGCACTATGGTCTGATAATATACAGGGGATAACTTCAGTTCCTTTGCACTTACTTAAACATGTTCTATGAGTGAGTATGTGGTCTATTTTGGAGAATGACCCATGTGCAGCTGAAAAGAATGTGTATTCTGATTTTGTAGGGGGGAACACTCTGTAAACAACTGTTAAGTTCATTTGTTCAAGAGTTTGATTGAGTTCTAGTATTTCATTGTTTATTTATTTTTTAGGTACTGGGGATCGAACTCGGGTCCTTGCACTTGCACAGCAGGCGTCAAAACCACTGAGCTAAATTCCTGGCCCTCATTTATTTTTATTTTTTATTTTTGGTACCAGGGATCGAACTCAGGTCCTTGCGCTTTCAAGGCAGGCGCCGGAACCACTGAGCTAAATCCCCAGCCCTTCGTTGTTTATTTTTTGAGGAAACAGTCTTTTAAAGAGAGGTCTCTAGGGGTCAGGGATTTAGCTCAGTGGTTCCGGGGCCTGCCTCACAAGCGCAAGGTCCTGAGTTTGATCCCTGGTACCAAAAAAAAAAGAGGTCTCTATAACCATCATATTATACCTTTTATCTGGGTAATATTTTATTTATTTATTTATTTATTTTTGGTACCGGGGATTGAACTTGGGTCCTTGCACTTTCGAGGCAGGCACAGTGCCACTGAACTAAATCCCTGGCCCTGGATAATATTTTATTTATTTATTTATTTATTTTTGGTACCGGGGATTGAACTTGGGTCCTTGCACTTTCGAGGCAGGCACAGTGCCACTGAACTAAATCCCTGGCCCTGGATAATATTTTATTTATTTATTTTTTGGTACTGGGGATCAAACTTGGGACTTTGCACTTTCAAGGGAGGCAGCAGAACCACTGAGCTAAATCCCCGGCCTGGATAATTTTTGTTTTTGTTTTTTTGGTACCGGGGATTGAACTCGGGTCATTGAGCTTAAGATGGATAATATTTTAGAGTGTGAGTTTTATGGCCAAATTCTCCAAGTTTTTTAAAATTCACTTTCCTTCTCTATAAAATGGGGATGATAATAATACCTTTTTCATAGGATCATTGAGAGAATTCAATGATAATATACATAAAGCACATATAATGGTATCTGGTGCATAACAAATACTATTATTACTTTTTCTATTTTTATTAGGCAGGTCAAAGTGGCATCATATATATCCTACTATAAAAGTGGTCTCAAAGTATGTTTCCCAACAGCACTTTGTGAACTAGCAGCAGAGAAATATATGTTAGAAATATAAATTGTTGGGTCCTAACCTAGACCTATTGCATCTGTACCTCTAGGGGGCAGGACCAAGCGATGTGTCTTAACAAGTCCTCCAGCTTGATTCTGATGCATCCACCACCATGCCCAGCTTGTTTTTTTGTTGTTTTTTTTTTTTTGGAGACAGGGTCTTCCTATGTAGCCCAAGCAGGCCTTGAACTCAAAGAAATCCTCCTGCCTCAGCCTCCCAAGCGCTGGGACTACAGGTGTGTGCCACTATGGCTAGCCAAAACTGCTTATTTCCTCCCACTTTTAACCACACTTTCTCTCTTTCCCTCACATACTCAATCACTAATTAGGCTGCAAAAAATCACTGATATATTAGTGATCAAGGTAACAGAGACATAGTCATAAAATCGGATATAGCAATTTTCATAAAGATGACAAAATGGGCAAACAATAAAATAAACATTTATTTCAACAGAAGCACATAATTAGTATATGGAGGAAACTAATCAAACAGAGACTGGAGCAAATATGATTTTTTATTTTTTTATTTTTTGCAAATATGATTTAAAGGAGAGCCTTACAAAGGAAATGACTCAGAGGGAAGTAAAGATGGGGAGTGCTGATGGTTTGATTCTTGCTGACAAGTATTAGTATGGTACTTAAATAATCCCCTGCCCTAACAAAGATTCTGTGCTCCCTTCCGAAGCATATATACATAACAAAGATTCTTGCCAAAAGATCAGAAAACCCAGGAAAAAAAAGGATACATCATCTATTTAGTTTTTTGGTGTTGGAGATTGAACCCAGGGCCCCAACACTTATATGATTTTAAATATAAGCACTGATGTTATTTAAATGTAGGAATTGTCAGGCCAAGGATTTAGCTCAGTGGTGCCGCAAATGCCTGGCAAGCGCAAGGTCCTGAGTTCAATTCCTGGTATTGAAAATAAAATTAGCAATTGTCACACGAACATGTAATAGAGAAGCTATCCTTTTTTTTTTTTTTTTTTGATTTTGTTTTTTTCCGGTACCAGGGATCGAACTCAGGACCTTGTGCTTGCGAGGCAGGTGCAGTGCCACTGAGCTAAATCCCCGGCCTTATCCTACCTTAAAATATGAAACTTAAATTAACTTTGGAAAAACAATTTAAATCACAAATAGTTTGTTTATCTTGAATTTGTAGGTTTTTGACCCCTTTTCTAAATTAGGGTTTTACTTTTGTTATGATGAATCAATTTTCTTTCTCTTTTGTTTTTTTGGTACGGGGGATCAAACTCTGGTCCTTGCAGTTGTGAGGCAGGCGACAGAGCCACTGAGCTAAATCCCTGGCCCTTTTTTCAGTTTTTTTTGAGACAGGGCCTTGCTACATAGTGTTCAGAGTAGCCTTGAACTCACTATGTAGCCCAGGCCAGCCTCGAACTCACTGCAATCCTCCAACTGGGCCTTTTGAGTGTTGGGATTATAGGCATGCATCACCATAATTGGAAGATGGATCCATTTCATTTTATTTATTTATTTTTAAAATTTTATTTATTTTGAGACAGGGTCTCACTATGTAGTTCAGGCTGGCTTTGAACTCCCATGGAGCCCAGGCTGGCCCCGAACTCATGGTGATCCTCCTGCCTCACCCTCTCAAGTGCTGGGATTACAGGAGTGCCAGCATGCCTGGCAGATGCATGTTTTAAAGTCAGGAAATCTGTATAGCTTTAAGATTTGTTTTTATGTGTGTGCATACAGGTTTTGGATTCCTGGTGGGATTTCAGGTTTTCAGTAAGAATGAGACAAAGCTTCTAGTACTTCTATTTCTCTATTATTAACCTACAGGAGATCCAAATAAATGTTGACTGGCAGACAGAAGCATTAGCAGGTTTTCTTTTTCTTTCTTTTTTTGGTACTGGGGCTGGAACTCGGGACCTTGCATTTGCAAGGCAGGCAGTGGAACCACTGAGCTAAATCCCTGGGCCCAGCAGGTTTTCTTTCTAATTCTTTTCTGGAAAAAATTAACTCAATTGAAAAGGTACATTTGGTTAAATTCTACCCCAAAGTATGAGAAGTTAGGCAATTAATGTTTTTTATAGTCAAGGGAATTATTACAAATAATATAGTTCCTATATATTTTTCCATAACGGAACCAGTAGTAACCTGTATTAATTCCATAGGACCCAAAACAGTTCACAACCTTAAACTCTATGCACCAGAGTAAAAAATAAATTAAATTTCTAATCTTTAAATGACATGGATAATATTTACTGATCACCTACCTAGTCAGAAAAATCAAAGACCAATTTTTGGAAATGTCAAAAAAGTTGGAAAAGCCTCAAAAAACCTATAAATTCTGTAAGACTTTTAATTTTAATCAATCTACATTTATCACACTTAGCATTGATTTGCTTAGTACCTAAAATTAAAATTATTGGTTATTATCCGAAATATAGCCAAAGACCACCATCAAAATGTGTTAAATAGACTACTATGGTAGAAGAAAAAATGTAATTAAATTTGAGTTCCGTGGGGGACTGTCCCATTGATCATGCCCAAAGCAGGCTGTAAGCAGTGCAGATAGTAGTTACCTTGCAATTGGCACGTTTTAAGAAGTGAGTCTGACCGAAGCCTATGTGACTCACAGGGGCATCGTGGACGGCACGTGGGACAATATCAACACCCCCCCTCCCCTGCCTGTGGCCATGGCACAGACCAGAGAAATGGCTTGTGAAGCTACTGGGCTTAATATGAGATAACACACAGCCAAGGCCAATGACTCTCATCCAAACTCCATTCCCAAAATTAAAACCTTAACTAGAAGGACAAGGTTATTTGCTATCCACAACCTGTATTTTATCTGTTTTGTTACTAATTCAAGAATGCCTTAGGGGTGGGGATTTAGCTCAGTGGCACCATGCCTGCCTCGAAAGTGCAAGGTCCTGAGTTCAATCCCCAGTAGCAAAAACCCCCACAAAAAACAAACCCAACAAGAATGTCTTGTCTCTGTTTACAAGCCTTGCCTGCATCAGCAACGTATCCCTAGCAGCTACATGGGTAGCCCCTTTACTCTGATCTATGATGCCACCAGTAAATATCAATGGCTTTGGCTAGCCAAGTTCTTTGTTGCTTAGCAATGGCCATCCTGGCTCCCCCATTTTTCTCTTACACTCGATCTTAGCCAAAAGACTGAGAAGCGACCCCCCCCCCCCGTTTTTTCTCTTTGATTCTGTCTCTTAAGTCTTTCTTCTCACCATGTATTGTAGCACTGAACAGGAGATTGGGATACACAGGGGTCTCCAGTAAGGTTCCATTAAAACAATGTTTCCGAAGTTCTTGGCAAGCTACTGTTTCTTGTTTTTCTGACTGGGACTGGAAAGCCTACCAGAAATAAATTAAGTGCCAGAAATCCCACATTCATGTATCAAGTTGACAAGCTGTGTTTCCTGTATAGGTGTCTAAAAGGTCAAGACCGCAATTAATCACTCTTGTGGATTACTTTAATTAGATAATAGATTCCTTCCTTCTAACACCTAATGAGATCAGGTTGGGTGAGGGCAAGGTGGGGTATTTTGAGAGCATTTCTAGAAAGGGTGGAGCCACAGTGGCTGTCCTCAACAGTGGGAGGACAAAATGAGGTACTGAACATGAGGTAAGGGGCAAGGTGAGGAGGGAGTGGTGATCAGGTAAAAGACTTAAAAAAAGAAGGGAGTGATAAAGGTAACTTTTTCCTACTGTGAGATTCTACCTGGGCTACTTGGAAGCTAAGATGCCATGTAAGCCACCTCAGTGACTAGGTGAGCACCAGAATTATCAGATCCTTCCAAGGGTCTACCTCACTTGTAGTGAGTCACGGTAACAGCCAAAGTCTTTAATAACTGAATGATCTCTACTTGCAGTGCACTTCTCCAGTTCCATCTCCATTTATCTGCTTGTCTTTTTCAAGGGTTTTGCTAAATTGCCCACACTGATCTCTAACTCCTGGGCTCAAATGATCCTCTTGTCTCAGCCTCTGGAGTGGTAGGACTGTAGATGCCACACACCACTGTGCCTTTAAAATTATTCATTCTGTATGGTTCCTTACCTCCTTTTCAGATGGACTGACTCTACCCTGTAAAATCTGAAAGAAACACAACTACCTTATCAGGAAAAATTTGGTCCAACTCTCAGGAAAGACCTGAGAGTCACCCTTGCTGCATGGAGATCAACTTTTCTTCATAGGGTTGGGCTTCCTAAAGTTGGTCTTGATGTGGAGAAGCTTAATAGCAATCAAAATGGTTGAAAGTCTGTGGCACTGGTATTGCTAAGAAATAAAAAATTTAGCTCAGGGCTGGGGATTTAGCGCAGTGGTTTCGCCGCCTGCTGCGCAAGCGCAAGGACCCGAGTTCGATCCCCGGTACCAAAAAAAAAAAGCTAAAAAAAAATTTAGCTCAGTGGTGCTTCTGCCTGCCTAGAAAGTGCAAGGTCCTGAGTTCAATCAGCTATACAAAAAAAAAAAAAAAAGAATAATTTGGGTTACTGAGCTTGGTGAAAAAGAAAACCAGGAAGAAGGTACTGGCAAGTAATAAACACCTAATTATATCAGATGGTAGGAACAATAGTCGCTGTTCTTTTGTTTTACTAATGAACAAGAAATGGATTAACACAGCCGGAAGTTTCAGGCAAGATTTCTTACTACATAAAGATTGCAAGACATTGGAGTTGACTACTACGCAAGTCTGGGAAACCTATCATTATAATAATTACTTGAGAATTATAATAAAACCAGTTTAAGGGGCTGACAATGCAACTTAGTGGTACAGCACTTGCCTAGCATGTTCAAACCCCTGGGATCCCCAGCACCACAAACACAACTATGTAAACAATCTAGTACAATTCCTCACTCACACTGTGGTTATTATTATTTCTATCCGTAGGAGAACCAAATAAATGTTGACTGGCTGACAAAGTTTTAGCAGGTTTTCTTCCTAATTCTTTTCTAGAAAAGACTAACTCAATCTTTTGTTCTTTAAAGGATGTCAGAAAACTGTTAGGGCCCTGCAGGATAAATGCAGTATGAACAAATAATGCTGAAATTCTTTCTCTTTCAAGAAACCAACTACAATACAGCCTCCAAGTCACTCTCCCTACTGGAACACTAAGCGGTGAATCTGGCAATACTACATTTTACCCAAGGGTTAATTGTGGTTAACATTGAGGTTATCCAAATGAGGGGTTATTCATTTATAGCCACCTGAATTTCTAAACGCATGCCGGGACAGACATTCTGAAAAAGTACTCATACTTAGGTAGAACTGTGAGACCTAACTCCATTTTAAAGTTTGACTCCATCTTAAATATAAGACAGTAAAATGGCCTTGACATAAATTCCACTTCACTGAAGTCAACTATTCCCCTAGTCTCCTTTGTGCCCATAAACTAATGATAAAATGTCCTTGCTGTGGGACAACAGATAAAAAAAGAGACACAGCTCCTAACTCAATCCTGTCTGCCCAGAAAACAGATGCTCCCGGGCCCATTATCTATAGAACATTCTGTCAATGTGCTGATTGTTCCTTTTTCCCATAAACTCTACATGTAGCCACCCCTCAACCCCCCATGCTTGCTAAATATCAACCAATCATGTAACTGCTAAATGGAACATCCCCAAACCTTGCGGTAGCCACAATAAAAACCCTGCTGATTTGGAATTAGGGGCTCTCAACCCTGAGCCGCTGCGTCGGTGACGGTTGAGTGCCCCTGCTCGAGCTTGAATAAACGACCCTCGTGTGTTTACATCGGAAACGGCTCCTTGGTGGTCTTTGGGGACTTCGCGATCTGGGCACAACAGAACAAGAGGGCCTGACCAGGAAAAGACGACCTCAGCTGCCCAAGGTAAGGAAAGAGGCTCGAACCTAGCCAAAAAAAGACCTAAGGTTCTTACCATCAAGGAAAGAAAAGTTACATGCGTTAAGCTGGAGACTGAAGCAGGAACCAAGTGACACAGAGAAACTTTGTATAAAAAAGGGCTCAAGAGAGCGCCGCGAGTCTACCAGACCAGAAACAACAGACCTCGGAAGGCAACCCCCAAAACCACCGATTACTAGCTTCATACCTCCTTCCCGGTCGCCTCCTCGGCGCCTCGTGATGACCTCACCCGCAGCGTCCAATCGTAGCAAGCTTGGGGCGCGAGCCCCCGCCCTCAAACGGTCACGTCCGGAGGCCGAGAGGAAGCTTGAGCGAGCTGGGCGTGCGCCCTTGCTTCGTGCCCTCAACCCGAATGGCGGAGACCGTGGCTCGCAGCGGCGAGGCCGGGCGAGACGGGCGGTTCCTGCCGCCGCGCTGAGCCGCGGGGGTGGGGCGGAGGACGCCGGTGCGGCCGGGCGTCTGCCCTTAGTGAGGCGGGGCGCGCCGCGGACGCCCCGGGGCAGGGGCGGGAGTGGTGGCGCTCCAGCGGCTGGCTCTGAAAGGCGCGGTGCGCGAGGTGCCGAGGGCTTGAGGCGAAGCTTGGCCTCTTCCCGCGCCGAGACGGGGGCCGGTGGCGGCTGTTGCGGCGGCGGCCCTCGGGCCGGCTGCTGGTGAGGGGATGGCGGCGCCGGGCCCGGGGGCCGGGGCAGCCTCGGGCGGCGCAGGCGCGGGCTCCGGCCCCGGGGCCGGGACGTCCGGGGGACCTGGGGGCCGGTTGCCCAGCCGGGTGTTGGAGTTGGTGTTCTCTTATCTGGAGCTCTCCGAGCTGCGGAGCTGCGCGCTGGTGTGCAAGCACTGGTACCGCTGCCTGCACGGCGACGAGAACAGCGAGGTGTGGCGGAGCCTGTGCGCCCGCAGCCTGGCCGAGGAGGCTCTGCGCACGGACATCCTTTGCAACCTGCCCAGCTACAAGGCTAAGGTGAGAGAACCCGGTCGCCGCGCGCGCGCTCGGTGCGTCTCCTGCAAACCTCTGCGCCTGACGCCTCGGCTCGCCAGCCCGCCTTTCCACCAGTGTGCTCTCCTGGCTCCCTCTCCATAAGTATTCTCTTTCCTTTGGATGGAAGTTCTGCTCCTTAATCCACCCCACTTCCGTGATCCACTTTTAAAAAGACGAGGTGTTTGTCCATTGCTAATTCCCAGCTCTCGGTCAAATTCTTTTTTTTTTTTGGTACCGGGGCTCTAACTCGGGTCCTTTCGAGGCAGGCGGCGGAACCACTGAGCCAAATCCCCGGCCCAAATAAAGCACTTTTTTCTTTTTTGGTACCGGGGATCGAACTCGGGCCCTTGTGCTTTCTCGAGGCAGGCGACAGAACCACTGAGGTAAATCCCCGGCCCCTCGGTCTACTTTCTACAGTCTTTCTCCTTAAAGACGGACCACCGGCTCTTTGGCGTTTTAATACTGTACTCTCGTGTTTTTCTCCCCGGCTTCCACATAGACTTAATACATTACATCATCTCGGCTGCCTTAATATGGATTTAGTTTCTGAGATTTTGCATTCGCTTCGCCTTTTCTAAGCTCCGATTTATCACATTTTTCTTGTATTTCCACCCAACTTCCCTCTGCTATATTTCAGGCTTGCAAGGGAGCGTGGTCTTGGTCATCCTGCTTAAACTTTTCAGATACAGGCTTTCATAGAGCATCCTCGCGTTGGAACCATATAACTGTCATAATACTTCCTTGTGCTACTATTATTGGCGACTTCCTTGCGAACTTTTTAATACCTTTACCTTGATGATATTTCTCTTTGTCATCTAATGCGCTGATTCCAATTTTGCTGCTTGCTTTTTATTTCCCAAATTCTTGTCCATATTTCTACCACCTTCGTAATTCAAAATAGAAATGCGGGATTTAGTTCAGAGGTTCCACCGCCTGCCTCGCAAGCACAAGGTCCCAAGTTCAATCCCCGGTACCAAAAAAAAAAAAAAAGGAAAAAGAAAAGAAATGCCAAGTAACAAGTTGTGGTAAGGTTGAGAGGATTTTCTTTCCAGGCCTCATAAACAAAGGGCCACTGGCTTGAGTTCAGTTGAAGACAGCTCTTGAGTATAGCAGTCACCAAGAGAGTATTTGAGAGGATACAGTCTGACCTGCAGTGTGGTAAACAAAAAATGGCAAACATGCCAGTAAGGATCAGAGTAAGTAAATTTTTTTCCAAGTGAAATAGATGTAAAAATTTACTTTTTCTATATTGAGACAAGTAATCCCCACCACTAGAAAGGTTGAGGCAGGGGGATCACAACTTTGAGGCTTGGACCCAGGGATTTAGCTCAGTGGTTCTACTGCCTGCCCCTCAAAGGCACAAAGTCCCAAGCTTGATCCCTGGTACCAAAAAAAACACAAAAAACCAACTTTGAGGCTAGCATGTCTCAATAGTGAGACTCTGTGTCAATAAAATAAAAATGCTGAGGTTATCACTTACGGTAGAGCACCTGCCTGGGATGTGCAAAAACCCTCTGTTCAATCCCCAGTACTACACACACACACACACACACACACGGATAAGGAGCAATGCTGTTAAGTGTGTCAGCTATCAAATTGTTTTTCAGTCAAGTGAAATAACATTTACTAGGACAATATTTGTGCATAGTACCAGTAGAAACTTATATAACAAAGTGCAGATTGTTTCATTTTTGTCCTACTTTGCCTGATAAATGTGTGGGTTTCCTAAGTTTTTAAATGTTTTATATTTTAAAATTACCATAAAGTTTATTGGTTTTGCTTATTTTAAATTGACTTGCAAATCATTTTGTGATATGCTCTCATGAGTCAAAATTCATGTAATAGATAATGTGTCTATGTGAGTCAAGTTTCAACAGAAGCAAAGTAATACGAAGCGAAAGGTCTCCCTTTGGCCCTTGTTCCCCCCCACTCAGTTCTCCTTGGAGGCAGCCTGTATTACCATTTGGTTTATATCCTTCCAGAGAGTTTCGTTTTCGTAAGTTTTAAATGCTTTGTTTACCTTTCTACTGTGTGTACTATACAATACTTATTGTATACTACTACGATACGTACTGTAGGGTTGTACTAATCGGTTCATTCTCATGTTACAGAATCTTTTTTTAATATCTTAGTGATGAAGGGATTAACTCAAAAGGAGTCAGGCTAGTAGAGAAGTCCACAGTGTAGTAAAGGAGTAAGAAAATGTATAGAAATAACTAGTGGATGGTATATGTTGCTTCTGTTAGAGATAAAAAGTATAGTAGATGTTCAGTGAAAGAAATATGAGTTGAGTGGAGAATTGGGAAAGGTTTGAGATTAAGTTTGTATTGAGCTGAATTTTAAAGATGAAGTAGATGTGAACATTTTTATACCTTTGGGGGGGGTACCAGGGATTGAACTCGGATTCTTGTGCTTTCGAGGCAGGTGGCAGAACCACTGAGCTAAATCCCCGGCCCTAGATTTGAACATTTTTGAGACAGGGTCTCTCTGTGTAGTTCAGGGTGGCTTTGAACTCATTGGTAGCCCAGGATAGTCACTTGCAATGATCCTTCTGCCTCAGTCTCCGGAGTGCTGGTATTACAGGCGCGTGCCACCAGCTGGGCTGGATTTGAGCATTTTATGAAGAGGAAATACTCTTAACCAGAACAAGAGGAAAGCAAAGGCACCGTGCTCAATTTTGCAGATGTATTGTTGAGTAAAAAACAGATTCTTAGGGAATTTACGGTGTAGTGATACAGTGTAAAACAGAAAGTGCCGTGAAGGAGAGATACATGGTGTCAGTAGAAGATTTGACCCAGGTAGGGAGGTCAGGGAAAGCTTTCTTAAGTTAATCTCTTTTCTTTTGGACTGAGGATTGAACTCTGGTTCTCTCGAAGGCAGCAGAACCACAGAGCTAAATCCCCACCCCAGGGAAAGCTTTCTTGTAGGAAGTTAGTTACACGTGAACTGAATCCTGAAGAATGAGGATAAAGAGGCAAAGGGGAGAGAGAAGAGCCTTTGGGGAGGGAACATGATGACTGTGAGGGACAGAAATATGTAGTGGGGCTGGTTTGAGATAACTTGGAAGACATAGACCACAGAGAAGCCATTTCAAATTGGAAGCAAGAGGGATATGCGGTACGAGTCCTGGTGATGTTTATTTTTGCCTTTTCAAGAGGTTATTTCTGACTTCAGCAAGGAGAACCTTCGAAATTAGGAAGGTTAGGGCCAGGGATTTAGCTCAGTGGCACTGTGCCTGCCTCACAAGCACAAGGTCCTGAGTTTGAGCCCCAGTACAAAAAGAAAAAAAAAAAAAAAAAAAAATATATATATATATATATATATATATATATATTAGGAAGGTTAATTAGGAAGCAGCAAGTGAAGGAGATGGATAGAAGTTGACAGGATTAAGAAGTAAAATCTACAGAATTGGGCAATAGATTTGAAACAGATGAGAAAGAGGGAAATGCTAAGGATGACTCCTAGGAATCTGGATTGCATAATAGAGGGATCACTTGGGCTAGATTTTTGAGGAATGGCACCAGGTTTGTAGAGTAGAATTTATGGTGTTTTTGAGATGTCAGAGGTTTCAGATTGGCAGCTATTAGAGGTTGGAGCTTTGAGGAGAGGTCTAGACTAAAGATATAAAACAAGGTCAAGTATGTAGCTCAGTGGTAGAGTGCCTAGCATGTACAAGATCTTGGGTTTAATCCCCAGCACTGCAGAGGAATACATATGTTCAGTTTAGTTAGGTTGAATGGAGGAAAGTAGTGGGAAATACGATTGTAAAGGTAAACTGGAACTAGATATATCATGGAGGGTCTTTTGAAATGCAGTCTTCAGTCTGTTGTTGTTTGGGCTTTGTTTTATAGTTGGAAAAAACACAGAAGTTTAAACAGAAGAGTGACAGTATAAGCTGTTAAAAAAAAGTAGGCCAGGGCCGGGGATTTAGCTCAGTGGTTTCGCCGCCTGCTGCGCAAGCACAAGGACCCAAGTTCGATCTCCGGTACCAAAAAAAAACAAAAAGTAGGTCAGTCAGGCGTGATGCTGCACACCAGTAATGCCAGTGCTCTGAGGCTGAGGCAGGAGGATTGCTGCCAGGTTTGAGGCCAGCCTAAACTACAAAGTGAGACCCTGTCTCAAAAAGCCAATAAATAAGGCGGGGGGGGGGGAGTGAATGAGAGCAGAGGTCAGTGCCTGTACCAGAGAGAAATCTAGCGGAGAGAAGAGCTGTTGTAGAGAGCAGATCCCAAGGTGGGCAGCTGACTGGGTGAGAGGGGTAAGGAAGAGAGCAGAGTCAATAGAATTTCCAAGGAGCCTGAGTGACAAAAAGATAGGAACAGATTTGGGAGAATATAAAACTGGAAAGTATTTGGAGTTGGTCATTTTATTTGGGAATTTTTTTTTTCTAAAAATTTATTTTCATTTAAAAATTTTTTTTGTTGTGGATCAAACCTAGGGCTGTGTACATGCCTAATATATGCTTTACTACTGAGTCACAGCCCAGGAGTTTTCTCTTATAATTTCATGTTTTACATGTCACCATTGGCATTAGTATTCCAGACATACTTGTCATCTAACTGTAATTCTCTTAAATTTTATATATTTATTTTTTATTTCTCTTAAACTTTAGATTTAAATCCAAAGCAAGGTCTTAAAGCTGTTTGTTAACAAACACTAATATTTTTTTTTTGTGGTACCGAGGATTGAACTCGGGTCCTTGCGCTTGTGCAGCAGGCGGCCAAACCACTGAGCAATTCCCCAGCCCAGCTGTTTGTAATAATGTAAAATCCAAATTGTTCATGAGCCTGAGACAAACTATGGATTGTTTTTATTTATTTATAAATCTGATTTTGTTTCATCTGAAATTTTCAGTATCAGTTTCTAAAAAAGGGCACTTGATACTGCTATTACTTCTAAAAAGAAATTAATAATTTCCTTTTTTTTTTTTTTAGTATCGGGAATTGAACTCAGGACCTTGCGCTTGTGAGGCAGCCACGATGGCACTGAGCTAAATCCCCAGCCCAGTAATTTCTTAATATAAAATATATAATGTTCTTGCTGAGTGTGGTGGCACACCCAGCTGGTAATCCTAGCACTTGGAAGGCTGAGGTAGGAGGATCTCCGTAAGTTCAAGGCCAGCCTGCACTACATAGTGAGACCTTGTGTCAAAAAACCTAAATAAGGGGCCAGGGATTTAGCTCAGTGGTTCCGGCGCCTGCCTCGAAAGTGCAAGGTCCTGAGTTCGATCTCCGGTACCAAAAAAAAAAGAAAAAATCCTAAATAAATAAAATATACAGTTTTCTAATTTTCAGTTGTCTTGTAATTGTCAAATACTGTATTTTAAATTTATGGTTTATTTAATCAGTGTCTACAAAGGTACCTATGGCAAACAACTGATAGGTCCCAGAGGGCTGTTTTAGTCTGCAGACTGACTGTCTCCTCCCACCTTCTACCTCTGCAATTTATGTTGTCTGCCTGGATTTTGCTCTTTTCATTCCCATGGTGTTGCCTAACATGCTCTTCTGTCCTCCGTATTTCCCACAGAGTTTCCATTGATTTTTTTTCCCCCAAGATATGTTTTACTAGAAGAGGTTAGAGGTACATTAGAAAATGATCTCTGTATAACTAAGTATTATGTGGTACACACAGTGCTGGGTAGGAATTCAAGAGAGAAATGAATGGGATTGGGTGGCCCTGATTAAGAATAGCTTCATAGAGCTGATATTAGAGGATGTGTGGGAGGAGGTAAGCAGATAGAATATAACATATAAGGGAAGTAGGAAAGGAAATAGGAGGAGTACAATCTGGAGGGCTTTGAAAGTAGGCAGAAGAATGTACAGTTGATTATGGTAGTAAATATAGAACTGCTAAAAGGTTATTAACAGGGAAAAGAGGCAATGAAGGTGGTGTTTTATTTCTTTTCTTTTTCTTTTTTTTTATTTTGAGGGGGGTACTGGGGATCGAACTCAGGTCCTTGTGCTTGTGCAGCAGGCAGCGAAACCACTGAGCTAAATCCCCGGCCCAAGGCGGTGTTTTAGAAAGACAGCTCTGGGAAGAATTTAGGATTAAGGACTGAGTTTGGAGAATTTGAGGGGCCAAAGTAAGGGTGGTCACTGACACAGAACACAGTGTGGGTGGTGATGGTGAACCTTCTGGAGACCGAGTGCCCAAACTGCAACCCCAAACCCACTTATTTATTGCAAAGTGCCAACACTGTAATTACACCTAAATATCTGATGCTCGACTGCTGGAGGGATGCTGGGGTGACGTGGCTTGCATGCTGACAGAGAGGGCTCTGTGTGCCTGCTGCAGCACAGCATGCCATAGGTTTGCCACCACCAACCTAGGACTTTGCACATGTTAGGCAAGTGCTCCACACTGAGCTACACCCCAGGCCCAAAATACAGTTCTTTTTGATAATAGCGTTGCCAGTATGAAAAAGTACATTTTTTTTTTGGTACCAGGGATCGAACTCAGGTCCTTGTGCTTGCAAGGCAAGCTATGGAACCACTGAGCTAAATCCCTGCCCCTACACTTTTTGATATAAAATATCAAATACAGGGCCAGGCATTTAGCTCAGTGTTGTCTTGCCTGTCTGGCAAGTGCAGGGTCCTGAGTTCAATCCCCAGTACCGGGGAAAAACAATCAAATGCAGTATAAACAAAAGTAAGGAAAATAGTTGATGAACTTCCCCATACCTATCACTAAGCTTTATCAATGACTGATGACAAGTCTGACTTCATGTTTATCCTACGCACTTCCACTTGTGCCACTAGATATTTCTAACTAATTTCTACATGGCATTATTTTAGCCATAAACATTTCAGTATTATCTGTAAAATACAAAGATTCTTGTGTATATCTTTGAATGTGTTGTTTTGTTTTTGTTCTTTTGAGACAGGGTCTCACTATGTAGTTCAGGTTGGCCTTGACCTCATTATGTCACCCAGGCTGGCTTCCAGCTCATGCCGATCCTCCTGCTTCAGCCTCCTGAGCACTGGAATTATAGACGTGTGCCACCACGCCTGGCTCTTTAATGTATTAAGTTTATTTGGAGAATTATAGTACAGTTCAGAATTTGTTCAGTGATAAGAATGTTGACAGTTTGTTTCTTTGTTAAGACAGAATCCCAATATATTGCCCAGGCTGGTCTTGAATTCCTGGTACAAGCAATCCTCTCCTGCCTCGGCACCCCCCACCCCCATCAGCTGGGAATATGGGTGTGAGCATTATTACCCAGCTTCAGCCTGCAGTTATTTTTAATGTTATACAATATTTTTGTATACATCATGAAACTAGCCGTTACTTGGAAATACTTAATGTCTTACTTAAAAATATATAATTGCGTTATTTAAAAACATGTCTGAAATTTGAATACTTTTTAATACTTAAGACAAATCAAATTTCACCTTCTCCGGTGTGTTTCTCATCTTCAGGTACGTGCTTTCCAACATGCCTTCAGCACTAATGACTGCTCCAGGAATGTCTATATTAAGAAGAATGGCTTTACCTTACACCGAAACCCCATCGCTCAGAGCACTGATGGTGCAAGGACCAAGATCGGTTTCAGTGAGGGCCGTCATGCATGGGAAGTGTGGTGGGAGGGCCCTTTGGGCACCGTGGCAGTGATTGGAATTGCCACGAAGCGGGCCCCCATGCAGTGCCAAGGTTATGTGGCATTGCTGGGCAGTGATGACCAGAGCTGGGGCTGGAATCTGGTGGACAATAATTTACTACATAACGGGGAAGTCAATGGCAGTTTCCCACAGTGCAACAACGCACCAAAGTACCAGGTGAGAGACTGGGTCTTTGCGCAGCTGTGTGCCTTTGTCAAATCACAGCTCGTTTTTTTTTGTTGTTGTTATTTATTTATTGGTGCCGGGGATCGAACTAGGGTCCTTGCGCTTGTGAGGCAGGCAGCGGAACCACTGAGCTAAATCCCCGGCCACAGCTCATTTGTTTTAAATTTCCAAATGTTTATGTAGCAGTTAAGACTTTTTTTGTAATTTAAAAGTAAATGGTACATAGGAAAAGACTTTATGAACAAAACCTCAGTGGCACCGGAACTAGCACAAAGAATCAGTAACTGGGATCTCATCTTATTAAAAAGCTTCTGCACTGCAAGAGAAACTATCAACAGAGCTAAGAGACAACCTACAGTGTGGGAAAAGTAAATAGTATATGATGTATCTCAGTATCCATTTCCTAGTGCATATTGACCTTGAGAGCCCATCTTTGCTCCACATCAGGGATTGGTGACTTTCTGTGTGGGCCAGACAGTAAATATTTTAGGCTTTGCGGTCCAAATGGTCTCTGTCACAACTTTAAACTCCGTTGTTGTAGCCTGAAACAGCTGTCTATATTATGTGAGTAAATGAACATGACTGTGCTATCTATGGGCTGGAGGGCAGATTTGGCCCAGCGGCTGCAGTTTGCCAGCTCTTGCTGGAGACTATTGTCTTTCCTGTATTGTGCCACCTGTATCTTTTTTTTGCTAGATTCCTCACCCCGACAAATGTACCTGTGTAAATAACACATGCATAAACACTCTGCTGCTTACTAATCTTTGAGGATTCAACAATTGCTGTAGAGACAGGCAAGTTCAGGCAAACTGCTGCATTTTTTATTCTTTTCATCTTAGCCTTAAGTCATACTTGTTTGCATCTAGAATCAAAATTATAATTCCTATTTCTAAAAGCAATATTGCCAAAGTATTTGCAAAGTATAAAATACAACAATCTGGCAGGCTGGAGATTTAGCTCAGTGGTACCACGCCTGCCCTGCAAGCGCAAGGTCCTGAGTTCGATCCCTGATACCAAAAAAAACCAATCTGGTAACAAATTAGAAGTCTTAAGGAGCAATAGATTGCATATTTTAGACCTGCATGTATCTAGAAATCTGTACCCTCAATGATAATCTTATGTTAGTCATACTAAAGTAGAACTAAAAATATGTTCTATTTTCTCAGATAGAAATTGAAAAGGATATTCTTTCATGGAATCCTTTCCTCATTGTCCTTTTAGACTGCAAACACCCTACAGAGAGAGGTGTCTGAATTATCACTGAAGATAAAGCCTTACTACTTTCTCTACGTTTATAGATTCACCTTTGGAATGATTTTATAGTGAAAAGCCCTTAAGTTTTTGTTTTTCAAAGAACATACTCTGATTTCAGTCCTTTTAAATTTATTGAAGTTTTAGTCCCAGCATATAGCCTGTTTTGATGAGTGTTCTATGTGTGCTTAAAAAACATGTATTAGGCCGGGGATTTAGCTCAGTGGTTCCAGCGCCTGCCTCGCAAGTGCAAGGTCCTGAGTTCGATCTCCGGTACCAAAAAAACCCCAAAAAACAAATAAAAAACATGTATTGTGTTGGATGGAATATTCTCTTAATGACAAGTCAGTTGGTTGATAAGGTTCAAGTCTTCTGTATTGTTACAGAGAGAAGTATTGAAGTCTCCAACTAGGCTTGCTACCTTGTCTGCTTTCAGTTCTGTCAGTTCTTTCACAGGTGAACACTCATTTATTAGGTACATATACATTTCTAATTGTTGTATCTCTATGAAATGATCTTTTTTGACTACTAATATTCCTTGTCCTTAAGTCTGTTTTGTCTGATTTTACTGTAGCTGTTCCAGCTTTGAAGTAAGCCTAAGGACTTACAGTGACAAAGTACTTTTTTTCACACCCCCACTTTTACTTTCAGACTCTCCTTAGATTTAAAGTGGATAACATGTAGTTGATACATGTAGTTGATACATGTGCAGATAACATGTAGTTGAGTCTTTTATCCAACCCAGTTTCACAGTCTCTGCCTTTTGAAGTGTTTTATCTGTTTACATTTAATGTAATTGTTGGACTGCTTGATAGTTCCTTGTCACACACACCCCCCCCCCTCAGCTTTTTCCCGTATTCTTCATTTTGGATAATTTCTTCAAGTTCATTGCTTCATTCTTCTGCCATTTTACCTCTGCTGTTGAACTAGGCTAATGAGTTTTGGTTATTGTACTCTTTAGTTCTATTCTTTTCATTTGGTTTCTTTTTTATAGTTTTTTTCTCTATTGAGATTCCCTGTTTTTTCACTTCATAAATACTGTATTTTTCCTTAATTCTTTAGACATATTTATAATAGCTACTTCGAAGTCTTTGCCAAATTGAGCACTTAGGTGCCTGAGTTTCAGTTTCTGTTAACCCTGCCCCCTTCCAGTATGAGATACACTTTCCTATTTCTTTTTCTAATAATTTTTTTTTTTTTGGTACTGGGGATCAAACTCAGGACCTTGGCGGTTGTGAGGCAGGCACAGTACCACTGAGCTAAATCCCCAGCCCTCTATCTAATTTTTAAAATTAAAAACTGGACATGCAGGTAATATGTACCAGTTACTCTGGGATGTTTAGTTTGTCTAGAAACTGCTTTACTCTCTGAAGATTATAGGTTTTCTTGCAGTGGTGGGCACTTAAATTGCCTGGACTGAACTGTAAACTCTCTCATGTGGTGTCTAACAGCTAATGCCTTTGCCTATTTTCTTCAGCTTTGCTGCTTTTTCAGCCTGGTTCCCTGGGATTTCCCCTGCCCGTGTAATCTTGGGAACTCATAAGGATTTTGGCAGAGTTTATTCCCAGATTTGGGGCTCATCCTTTCAGTGGTTCCCTTGCTCCTGGAGTTCCTTCTCATAGTTTCTACAGGGTCTGCCATCCCCAAGGTTTATTTACTGACGACACCGAAAGCTAGTGAGACTTCTGCTTTGCTCTGCCTGTGCTCCCTGCATGCTGTGTGCTCAGAGGTGAATTGCACATTTCAGCAGGATTAGTTCTGTTTCTTAGTCTTATCTTCTATGAATAGGGAGGACTCCTGGGATTGTGTGAGGAGTACATACAAATAAAACCCCAAATGATTACTCAACAAAATATTAGCATTTCATTTCTGTTTTCTTGTTGTTCGTGTTTTGTTAATAGCAATTGATAGCAGTGAGGGTAGGTTCATAAAATAAGGTGTGAGTTAATCTGTGAGTTGGGCAAAAGGAGAAAACTCAAATGATGGCAGTTATTTGTGACAAAGACAATGAAGGAAAATAAATGACAACAGTAGGTGTTACCATAATCAGGAAGTGTTACATTTTAATTTTGATTGTACAAGTTAGAAATTTCTTTTTCTAAGTATTTAGATACAGCATTCTGTATAGATGGAAACTATAAAGATGAAGCTTCCTTGTTTCTTTGCTTACTTTTCTTAATGTGAAAAGAACTGAATATATTGAGTTTCCAGTCTGGTTTAACAGTCAGCACTACTGTTCTTTAATGAGTAGTAGACCACAAATTGACTATTTGATAAGTGTATTAAATAGAATTATGCTATTTGGTTATTCATAATTACATAAGTTCTACCATTGTATGTAGAACTGGTTTGTAAACTTTAAAGTCTATGTGCTTTTCATTACAGTGATTTTTATTATGGTAAAACATACGTAACATATATTAACTATATATATACAATTAAATGACATTAAATAGATTTACAGTGTTTATAGCAATCACTGGTCTCTGTACCCAAAAGTTTTCATCATCTGCAACATATATTCTGTACTCACTAAACGGGAGGTATTTAGATGACCGTTTTGATAAAGTATACCAATATAGATTTTGCTGCTAACTTCTTTCAGAAAAGCCTTAACCAAGAGTAAAAGAAATCTGAGGACAATTTGAGGAATATTTAAATTGTTAGTAATTAAATGTATATCCTGTATGAATCCTTAAAAAATGACCAAAATAAGCATTTTTGATGAGAATGATTTATCTTTCTTCTTGATGTTTCTTCCTGGCCAGAAAGTTTCCCTTTTGATGTTTCTAAATACCTTTTAAGATACTTACTTCTTAATGTATTTTCAACTTCTTGATTTGTGTCATGTTCTAGCTGTGCCCTTGTTGGGTTTTCTTCTAATCTCCTTTTTATGCCTGTTTGCAGATAGGAGAAAGAATCCGAGTCATCTTGGACATGGAGGATAAGACTTTAGCTTTTGAACGTGGATATGAGTTCCTGGGGGTTGCCTTTAGAGGACTTCCAAAGGCCTGCTTATATCCAGCAGTTTCTGCTGTATATGGCAACACAGAAGTGACTTTGGTTTACCTTGGAAAACCTTTGGATGGATGACAGTGGCTTTCTGGGATCAAAGACAGTGGAGAAGAAACCTACTCGTGGAAAGTAGCATCATGAAGTGACAATGTCATATGTGCATGCCCAAGAAACATCCTGAAAAACATGAAGTTGTCAACTGGAGAAGCAGCTCTACTACAGCAGAGATCACCTTAGTGTTTCCTCTTTCTGCTGGGCCAGAAAAATCCTCAGGGTTGCAGTTGGTTGAGTGGGCAGTTGGCATATGCGTGTTGTAACAGATTCTGTCTCTAAGCTAGCAGTGTGTTCTTTCCAGCTTTAAGGTGAGTGTTAGAGATGCTGTCAAAGGGATAAGATAAAGAAGTAGCAAGATTTCAAGGCGGTGTGCTTGTGAAGAAAGATGGATCGTGTCCACAACTGCCTGCTCTTTCTCCAGTCCCCTTTCCAGCCAGCCTGACCATTAGGAAAGTATGAAACTGGTTGGGGTTTATTTAATATTTTTAATATATTGAGAAGCATGGTCTGCCTGGACTGCACTTCTCTAACAATGAGAAATAAAATTGTGCAGCTATTTTAAAAGTTGTATATATAATATGTGTGTAAAAAGTATAAAAAAGAAAAAGGACAAAGAGGCTGCTTTGTTCTAGTTCAATTTCTTAAAAACCACTATATGGTATAAAATTGAAATAACATTTGGGGACAGTAGGGTAGCCACAAAGAAGAGGATTTTAAGATGAGATGTGTTGTATTGGCTCATTTTATATTATTTTTGGCTTAAAAGTTTCCATAGCTCGGTCTGGGGATGTAGCTCAGTGGCGCTGTGCCTGCCTGGCAAGTGCAAGGTCCTGAGTTCGATTTCCGGTACCAAAAGAAAAAAAAGTTCCCTTAGCTCTTACAGTTTGTCATCATTTTTTTCTTAATCAAAATTATAATAAAGAATCCCTAATCTCCTGAAGGAAGGCAAATCTATTTCTAATTATATGTGTCAGTAAGGATGATCTAAACACAGTAGTACAATGCACATCTCTCAGTATCAGGTTTTATTTTTTGGCCCTTTGAGAAAATGTCTCCTAACAGAAAATGTCCTCAGTATATGAACGCTATTAGGGAATTCATTAATGGTTTTTATTTTCTAGCTTTATAGTGCTGTACATATTATCAAAACTTTTAATTTCATATTGTTTACATCCTGCAAAACCCTAAGCCTCCAACTCTTCGTTGGTGTGATCAAGAGAATGTTTACTCATTCATCTGAAACAGTGCCAACCTGAGTCCAGGTTAAGAACATTCTTAATCTAGGTCACTCCCTCCACAGGACTTGAAATCCAACATCTTGTGCTGAAACCTTCAGGTTGGCAATATTTTGAAAGTTTCATTGCAGAAGAGCTTAATATTACTTCCTATTTATAGTCTACCACACATGAGCTGAGATTTTTTCTTTTGTTAAAAGAGAAACAACATCTTTCTGTTTGAAAGTATACATTTCAGTCACATAAGAATTGATGGAGGCAAGTGAGATTTTTGTACTTTTAAGATTATTGCCGTATATATATTTTGTTTTAAATCTTAATAAAATTAGGGACAGCAAGCAGCTTGTTCCTTGAGAGTTAAAATTATCAGTACTCCTGTGAAGCAGGAGATTTCAGCCATAGAACAAAGATCTGTTTTTGCTACCTGAAAGGTTTACAAGTATTTATTATGTATGTCTGTAGTTGGTCATTTAAAAAGGTGAAATTTGTTAAAGGTTCTTTTTGATATCCATGTCAAGAAGAAACTTGTACAGAGCGAAACGATACATTAAATGTATTAGCGAATACACAAGTTGATTTTTCTTGGGGTAGAACAACCCAGTTTTGCATAGCTGAAAATTTGATTGAAAAGAGAACTGGTTTAGGATGAAGATTAGTTAAAAAGTGATCAAGTCCTCTTAAGTATTTGTTGCCTTTTCAGGTTGTGGTATGGCCAATTTCCAGAGCTTTTGCTAAGAGTTTTGTTTATAACTTCTGTTGTGTCTTGCTAGTAAACATTCTTCTATAACCACGTTTTGAAGGTGCTGATTGGAAAACAGAAACACATGGTTATTCATTCCATATTGAACCTAGGATCAGTGATTTCCTAAATGTTTAACGAGCCATTTTATGTGAACGAATTCCCTCCTCACCCATTTGCAAGTTCTATAAAATGGGTGTTCACAGCATGAGCATCAGGGGAATGACGTGATGAGTGGATTTGTCACTGGAGACGGAGAGTGGCTATCCTCTCCGTTGACAAACACATTGCTGCATGTGCAAGGAGATTCTTTTCCACTGGTGCTGAGAGAGCAGTTAGGTGAAAGACAGTCCACCTGAAGATTAGTGTAAATCCCCTACACACGGACCTCAGCCGTGGCTGTGCTTGGGAGTCACATTGGAAAGTGTTTTTAAAAATATTTATGCTTGGATCCTATGTCCTGAGATTCTGGTGTTGGTCTGGGATATGACCTGGCCGTAAGGATTTTTAGAAGACTTTCTGATGCTTAGAGTATGCCATCGAGGGTGAGAACCATTGAGCTAAAATTCACTTAGACTTTTCTCATCTGCAAAATAGAGAATTCTTGCTCCCTCCCTTCACTACCTCACAGGGATATTGAGGGTAAAGGAAAGAATAATGGGAAAGTGCTGTGCTGTGGATGAAAAGTGTTTGTTGTGTTTTGGCTGCAACCATGATCAGGAAAAATGTATAATTGAACTTGTGTTGCCTTGGGAAACCAGGAGCACTTCTTTGGTCCTCTAATGAAGCTTGCAGATGTGGAAGCAAACATTACTGTTGTTCATACTAGTCTTCTGTCGTATTTGAGTTAAGCTGTTTGAATTACTTGGTTTTACATAGGAAAGAAAAAATAAGGCTTAAAGTCTGTAATGTTCATTGGCTCATAATTAAAACTTTTCATACAAGGAATTCTGTGGCTAATAGATATGATTTAATAGTTGCCATTATTTTTCCATCTTTTGAGTTCTGAATGCTAAGCCATTTATTTCATCTCTTGCTCATATAAGTGTAAATGCAGATTTGATAAAGCACCTGAAGCAAGTAGGTTTTTCCCAGTTGCATACCTGAAATCATGGCTCACTGATTAGAAATCTTCTGACCTTTAGATATGATTGACTGTGGAGTTTCAAAAATAATAAGACCTTAAATCTTAACAAATTATAATTAAGTTGCTAAATGTTTACATAGACTAATAATAGTACAGTATTTAAAAAATTATTTTAAGAAATGAACAGTTTGAAGAAATAGAAGCTTAAGGAGTTTTACAGATTAATGTTGAAAAGGGCCAGGGATTTAGCTCAGTGGTTCTAGCGCCTGCCTCGCAAGTGCAACGTCCGAGTTCAGTCCCCAGTACCAAAAAAAAAAAATGTTGAAAAGATTACTTTCCAGAAATCAAGACCACCACTTGCTGGGGATTTAGCTCAGTGGTTCCACCGCCTGCCTCAAAAGCACAAGGTCCTGAGTTGGATCCTCAGTACCAAAAAAAAAACAAACTTAGGAAGACCAGCACAACTGGAACTGTGGTAGACATGACCATTTTGAAGCCTTTATTAGGAAAGAACAGTCCATACTCAACCCAAATGCTGTTCTCATAAAACATTCCTCCATCCCTCTAGCTGAATATAATCTTTCCTACCTTGAAACTCCCCTACTGTGTGTGTGTTTGTGTGTGTATTTATTTATTTATACACACTTTTTTCAGTACTGGGGATTGAGTCCAGGGCCTTGTGGATGCTAGGCAAGCGCTCTACCACTGAGCTACATCCCTAGTCCTTTTGTATTTTATTCTGAGACAGGATCTCATTGAGTTGTTCATGCTGGGCTCAGACTTGCTAGCCTCCTGCCTCAGCCTCCTGAATAGCTGGGATCACAGGTGTGCACCACCATATGGTGGTGCACACCTGTGATCCCAGCTCCTAGCTTTATATTTTATCTATACTTAACTCATGCTGTATGACTTTATACTTTGTGTAAATGATTTCTATTTATTGATTACTGATTGGTGTCTTTGCTCCTTTGAGCTGGCACAGGACCTCTGATGGACTGATCTCTGCTTGCAAGGCTAAGCTCGTTGGCAGGGGCTCAGGTTTTTATTGAGGAACAGAGAAGAACTATGTAGAGAGACAAAAGCTCCTTTAAAGTTACAGACTGTAGATAGGTCGATGAGGAAAATTCTGCCTGTCATCCAAGCGAAGCAGGAGAAAAGGCAAACCAGAGGCTAGTGAAGAAGAAACAAATGTGAATGCATTTTAGCCATTCCCCTTTATTCGCAAATATTGATAAACTGATTTTTAGTTCTTGGTGTACATTTCATATATGTTTAGATTTAAAATTAGAATTCTGTATTTTAATTTTTTGGAATTCTGTTGTTTTGCCTTAGTTTCCTAATAAAAAGTTATAAAACCATAACCACCTGTGATTCCTTATATTTTAAAAAGGAAATTTTTTATACATTAGAAAAATTGGGATGCTTTAGCCAAAAGTGGTGATAGAATTAATCTCTCAGGTCCATGGCTTTTAATAGTGGAATCCGAAAAAAAAAAAAAAAATAGTGGAATCTGCATTGCCGGTGTTTAGAAGGAAACATGGCCAGGGAGCCATGACCCTCTAGGGCCCCGTTCCCTTGTCACTTCTGCCCCAGCTAACCCGTTGCTAACACAGGTGTTGGCCAAGAGTTGCAGAGGCAGGGATGTGAGTGCTGGACTAATGAACAAGTGTCCCCTGGGATCCAAAAGCTTAAAAGAGAAACACTTGATCGTGTTTGCTAAAAGTTGGTTCAAGCTGGGCGTGGTGGTGCATGCCTATAATCTCAGCATTCAGGAGGAGGATGCAAATTTGAATCCATCCTGGGCTACATAGTTCAAGGCCAACCTGAACTACATAGAGAGACCCTATGAAATTTATTTTGGTTTAGTCAAAAGAGACCAGGGGCAGCTTTCTGAGTTTGTTGTCCTAGTTTCTTTTCTGGGCCCTCCCCCAAAATTGTTGACAGGAACATGTTGTCTAAGCTTAAGAATATAGTTTTCAGAGATAACTAGTCCCTCCAGATTTAAGATGGTTCTTCAGCTTTTGTATGTAGAATTTCATGATAAGTGAGTGACTCAAGAAGTAAGACTCAGTTATGGAGCTTCCTTAGGTCATGGTGCTGACCATGCTTAATGTCTGCTTGAAAACAAAGAGGTTAGGGAAGTGAAGTACTATTTACAGCATGATACTTAGTAAGTCATACGATATTTCTGCTCCTATAAATTAAAGGAGGATGTGAAATTGAAGTAATGGGAATGGTGTTGAGTTCTTATTTCCCTTGAGAAAGTCTCCCCCAAATAATTTATTCAACCACTGATGTCCCACATTGGATTAATTAGTGGCATACTGCAGTGGGAAAGCCCATATATCTTTATTTTAATGTAACTAATAGCTCTCTTTCCTCAACCAGTGTTTAAAGGGTGTTTTGTCTGTGCCCCTTTGTGGCCCTTGACCTTTGAACAAAGGCTTACGGTTGAAATAGGAATTGGCTGTGACATCTCTCCCCCTTCAGCAGTGCAAAGGGTAACATCGTTTATGAGCAAATTTCCCAGGGCAGTAGATGGCACAGACAGTTGGCCTCTTGATGGAAGACATAGTGATAGCAGAGATCGACTCATACTAAGTTTTTGGAATCAGTCGAATGTATCTACACCAACTTCCGGTACTAGGGATTGAAGCCAGGGGCTTTGCACTGAACTATGTCCCAGCCCTTTAAAAAAAAAAAATTCTGGGCCAGGGATTTAGCTCAGTGGTGCTGCTGCCTGCCTCACAAGCGGAAGGTCCCAAGTTCGATCCCTGGTACCAAAAAAAAAATTCTTCAGCCAGGGATATAGCTCAGTGGCGCCGTGCCTGCCTGGCAAGGACAAGCTCCTGAGTTTCATTCCTGATAACAGAAAAAAAAAAGTTCTAACTTTGAGACAGAGTCTTGCTAAATTGTTAAGTTGCCCAGGCTGGGCTTGAACTTACAGTCCTTCCTCAACTCTGAGTTCTGGGATTATAGGCATGCGCCACCACACCCTGCTTGCTCCCACTCTTTTACACACAATTTATGGGAATAGTGAATTAGTGGCTCTGCAATCACATACAACTGTTAGTGACTCCCTATGCCATGCTGGATTTTGTGTGCTGTGGTTGAGCCACAGCTTCTGAAATTGCAAAGGAATGAAAAGAGCAGAAAAGATAATTCAGAACTAATTAAATATTTGCTAGCACCCACCATGTACCAGGCTCTTGCCAGGTACTAGGAATGTATAGAAGATTTCAAAATAAAAAATAAAACTAAAGCTATCAACATGGTCTGTTATGAAGCTGCTCACAAGCTAGTGCAAAAGCAAATGTGGACATAGACCACCCTGAGCAGCGGAATAAATCCTTTAATGGAATCATGGGGCCTGGTGTGGCCTGTGGGGTGAGTATGGACTTATCCTGGGTTGATACCTAAGTGGAGTCTTGGAGAACGAGTCAGTACCATCTGAAGGATGGAATAGCGCACACTGTGATACAGGGGCATAAGGAGCTCCGCTATGTCTGGAAATGGTGCACACTGACCCAGGGGTAGGACAGGGCACAGACACTGAGGCTAGATCAGAGCTGTCACATTAAGGAGTTGGGTTTACCCACTGTGGGAAGTGGAACATTTCACCTGGTTGACACAGTAGAAGATCTGAACATAGAATTCTTTTGCCACCCTTTCCCTGAAACACTGCACTTTGCCTCATCGTAGATTTTCCCTCCAGGCTGGGACCCTCCATTCACTTCAGTAGCCCCCCAAAACAACCAAAATTAAGCCCTGAGCCCTCCAGGAAAGGAACCCAGTGAGGAATGTGGCCAATATGCACACATGAGAGGGAGCGACATATTAACAATCCAATTGCTGGGGCCAAGGATTTAGCTCAGTGGTTCTGCCACCTGCCTTGAAAGTGCAAGGTCCCAAGGTTCGATCCCTGGTACCAGAAAAAAAAAATTAATAACAATGCAATTGCTCTCGTAATGCTCAAAACCAGCAGCCAGCAAGCAGCTTGTGAGATTCAAGATCAAACAAAAAGCAGATTGCTGAGCTGCTGGCTTTCCTTACTTCTCCCTTTCTCTCTCTGTCTCTCTGTCTCTCTGTGTCTCTCTGTCTCTCTCTCTCTCTGTCTCTCTCTCTCTCTCTGTCTTCCTCCCTCCCCTCTGTTTCTCTCTCTATCTGTCTGTCTCTCTCTGCGGATCCCTGCCTTGCTGTGGGGTTACCCTGAAGTGCAGTGGCTGGATGGTGTAGTAATTCTGTATTTAATTTTTTGGAGAACTGCCATACTGTTTTCCAAAGTTGCTGCACGCTTTTACACTTCAACCGTGCAGAAGGATTCTGATTTCTCCATATCCTTGCTCACAACACTTGCTATTTCCTGGGCCTTTTTAATAGTAGCCATCCTAATTGGTGAGAGATGAGAGACATTTATATTTTCATTTGCTACATAGTAACAACCCTAACCTCTTCGCTGGTTCTGACTGGCCACAGCCTCTCCTTGGTGGCTCCTGGCTTTGCTGTGTGGCTTCCTGGCTGTGGGCTCCTGGTCCCCACCTGGCCACTCCTCCAGGTTCCTGCAGCCCAGCCTTCGAGGGGATTTCATCATCCTTTCTTGTGTAGCTTCCTCCGTGAGCACCTCCCAGGCCCCCAGCTGCAGGCTGGCACTTTAGGCTGAGCTGGAAGGTGGAAACTGGCAGAATTTGGTCTTAAGGAAATCAAGAGGCGAAAACAGCAAGTGCTTATGGCCTGAGCTCTCACCAAGGACTGTTAGATGCCCTGGTCTGGAGGCCTGGGAGGAGCAGTCACTTTCAGCTATTTGATCCTTTCCTTGGCCAGGCTTCCAAGGGCCTCTTGCTCCTTTTACCACTCAGATACTGACCAAGAACACACCAGAGCAGCACACTGTCAGCTCTCATGCAGGCAAAGACAGACAGAACTTTGCCCTCAAGCCTCCCAGAGCCCACCAGGGAAGCCCAGACCTGTCTAAATGGTTCTAAATATGGTAGAACATGAGAATGCAGCCAAACATGGTGGTGCATGCCTGTAATCCCAGCACTCCAGGAGGCTGGGGCAGGAAGATCACAAGTACAAGCCCGGCATAGGCAAGACCCCATCTCAAAAAACCAAAACAAAACAGGGCCGGGGATTTAGCTCAGTGGTTCCGCTTTTACCTGCCTCGCAGGCACAAAGTCCTGGAAAAAACAACATCAACCACAAAAATCCCAAAGAGGTGGGGATGTAGCTCAGAGCAAAAGCCTTAGGTTCAATATCCAGGACTGAAAAAAAAAAAAAGGTAAACATGTATCAATTTGCCCAATAAATTCTCGATACAAATTCAGTAATACCAATTTACTGGTTTTTCTCTAAAACTTTATTTCTTTTAACAATCTATAGGATTTAGAGCAATTTATTTTTCTAAATATTGTCCACTATTCATTTTTCTAATTTCAGGTGATGTTCATGTCCCAAATGTCTTGCTGCTAACTTAAAACCCATTGTGGTGCCTGTCTGGGACTCATCTCTCCCTGGCAGGGTTCCCACCGGCGTCTGCCTAGAAACCCACTGGGCACTTTCCTGTCACACTGAGTCAGTAATTATTCTTTTTAAATTGTGACACCTTTTAAATAAGCACAAGAGTAAAGAGCATAACAACAAACATCTTTGCCCACTATTCAGCTTTGATACACCTTAATGTCTTGCCATATATCCATTAGATAATTTCTTCTCAAAAACAAAATACTGCCGGGGATTTAGCTCAGTGGTGCCTCCACCTGCCTCATAAGCGCAAGGTTCTGAGTTCGATCCCCGGTACCAAAAAAAACCAAACAAACAAAATACCCCCAAAATACTGCATAGAGAGTTAAAGTCTCCCTTACATTCTGGCCTGTGAATTGACCCCTTTCCCTTCCTCTCTCCAGAACTTGACACTTGTTACCATGTGTGTTTGTTTGTTCTGAGATGGAGTCTTGCTTTGTAGGCCAGGCTGCCCTCAAACTCATGGCGATCCTCCTGCCTCAGCCTCCCTAGTGCTGGGATCACAGGTATGTGCCACCATGCCCAGCTATCATGTTTGTTTTATACTTTCCTACCTATGCATAACTCCATAAAAAGTCTAGCATTGCTTTGCATATTTCCAAACTGTCACATATATAGTCACGGGGCACATAGCAATATTTCAGTATGACAGATCATATGATAGTGGTGATCCCATAAGATCATAATGGAGCTGAAAGATTCCTATTGCCTGGTATTTTTACTGTACCTTTTCTATATTTAGATCCATTTAGATACACAAATACTTAGCATTGCCTACAGTACTCACTACAGTGGCATGCTGTACAGGTGTGGCCTGGGCTGTAGGCATGCAGTAGTCTAT